GGCGCGCGCGCGCGCTGGGCGCTGCTGGGCTGCGGCGGCGGCGGCGGCGGTTACTATGGCGGAGTCGGCCGGAGCCTCCTCATTCTTCCCCCTCGTCGTCCTCCTGCTCGCCGGCAGCAGCGGGTCCGGGCCCCGGGGAATCCAGGGTGAGTCCGGGGGCGGGGGGCGGGGGCCGGGATGGAGAGGGCCGGGCGAGGGCGAGGCCTCGCGCCGCGGCGCCTGGGCTCCAGCGCGCCCCTTCCCCACGCGCACAATATGGCCGGGCGGGGGGCGCGGAGGAGTCGGGGTGACCCCAGTGGCTCCTCCTGACCCCCTAGGCTCCGCCGCCCAGCCTCGACCGAGCTCACGCCGGGCCCCTGAGGACTCGAGCCCTCCTCCAGGCGGAGCTGGATTCGGGGAGCTCTCGGGGGTTGTGCTCCAAGCACCCCTATATATTTCATAAAGGGAGTGCGGGCTTCTTTCCAAAGATGTGGGGATCATGTTTTTGCCCCTCGGCTTGTCCAGGGGCGGGGGTCTTGGTTTCCTCTCCCCAGGTGCTCCTGGGGGGATGCCCTTTCTCCCGCCAAGATTGTGGGGCTGCGGCGGGAGGGTCTTTGCTTCCCGAGGTATCCAGACTTGGGGAGCCCTGGCGCACCTCCGAGGGCAGGGGAAGGGGTCTCTAACCTTCCCTTCCGACCCTGCACGCGGGGCATCCCTTCGCCTCCCTCTGCTCCCTCCCTCATGTTCCGAGCAAGGGAGTCACATTTCCCCTTCGCGCAGCCCCTGGAGTTCAGTGGGGCACCCCCCCCCCCCCCAAATACACACGCCCTATGGGAGCTCTTTGGAGGAAGTGGGACGACCAGGCCCCTCCGCCGGGGAGGAGTTTGCCTTCGGAGTCTCTCTAACCCTAGGAAACCTGGTTCCCGAATGGTTAATCTTCATCTAGGTGTGTTTGCTTTCCACCTCGCCTCCCCCACCCCACCCCACCCCAGGGGGCCCATTCAGTTGCTCACTTGGTGGACGCCCTTCAGGTGAAATCCCGGAACCCGCCTCCAACCCTCAAGATGATTTAAAGATCCCACCACTGGACACGCTCCGCGGCCCTGGGTCAGTCCCTATTTGCCTTCCCGCACGACCCCTC